TGCGTGACTGTCGTCTCAATCTGCGATGATCTTTTGCGAAGCTCCTCAGCTATCCTATTTTGTTCAACTTCAGCATGAGAAATAAACTTCGAATTTAATTTATTAAATTTAAATTTAATTTTTAAATACACTTTAGTGTGGGAATTTTTTAGCATGGGAAGTAAGCCTTTTTAGCGCATTTTCTCATTTATGGAAAAAATGCACTATTGTGCTCGCCATGTCCGTCTGTCTGTCCGTCCGTCTGTCCGTGACCTCAAGTTTTCGTCGACGAGAAAATGCGCTCTCTGTCACTCACTGCAGTGAGTACTGAGTTATATTTTTTTCTTCTGATTGACAATTTAAATGGGATTTTCAAAGGATTTATCTGTTCTAGTAGACAACTTTAAAAAGTTTTTCATACGTGTTCGAAAAAATCGATTGATTCAGGGAGTCTTTTATGATATAGGTAATCGAAAATAACTAATGAATTTCGAGGCAAAATTTATCCTTCATGTTTTCGATCATAAAAAAGTTTATTGAGCACACTCCCTGACACACAAAAAATATCCTCCAGTCTAGCAAGTTCCGCACCAGTTGCCAGCAGCAAAATAACATCACATCTCCTGCTCGCCTCAAGCTCAGCAACATTTTTGTTGCCTCTTCACGCACGTGACTTTCTTCTCTTGCTAGTTAAACTGAAGCTGTCTTAGGGAAGCACGGACGGACGGCTTTACGGTCACGGATTTTGTCGTAGGATTCTTCATCGTAAAACGTGCCAAGATGTGGCGCACGAGCGAATTTTTGTGATGTCGCTCGATATGAACTTTATACGAATGAAGTCTGTTCTCTGGACTCGTGTGACTAGCGCATCTGATGTTTTTTCCTATTCTAAAAAAACAGCTAGTGTGTTTTGAAATTTGTTGAAGGCTCGTGCGTGGAACAAATTATCTAGTACCGTAGTGTTTATCCTAATGCCAAAAACTGTTCCCAGTAACGTTCGCCTCAGCTGTGTTTGTATAAAAATATTTTTTTACTTAATTAAGCCAATGAAACACGGCGTCATTTACACCATTTCAAATAACCAATTGTTTGCTTGCCACGCGCATAGCCGTACATATTCAAGGCGTATACCGAGAGAAAGCTTGAACGTGCAACCTGCTTATATTTATTTATCAAATCTGCACCTTGATCTGTGCATATAAGAAGCCTGCACCTTGATATATGTATATAACACACGCACCTTGATCTATGTGACCTCCGTGACCTGCTATGATCTCACCTCGATAACGCTGCGCATAGCTTGCTTTACCAATTGCTCTACCGCTGGAATTTGCATCATGATCATGATCAAGTTCGAAGTTCGGCTATCCCGCTTGTGGGTATAAATAAATGTCAGCTTTTCAATTTTAGTTCAGTGTATCAATTTCTACCAAATTATTATTGCTCTAATTTTTTGTATTAATAGGTTCGAGGAAATTAGGTGACTTAAGATGAATTGGTGATAGAAATAACGTTTTTTTTTGGCAATGAAATTTAGGCCCTATTTTTTTTTGGGCCCAATTTTCAACTGTCAATCTTCGTTCATTGTTGAATAACATTGTTAACTGTCTTGATTAATGTTTATAATGCGTTACCATAACTTCGATTGCTGGTACGTAAGTACGTTTATATTGTGGCACTCGCATTGAAATAATTTTGTGGAGTGAGGCGTATAGCAGCGTGTATAGTGGAGTGAGGCGTGTAGCAGCGTGTAGTGGAGTGAGGCGTGTAGCCTTGGTATTTGAGAGGCGCTATAGTCTTGCTAGCGAGCGTTTCGTTCACCTGGGAAACGCGCGATAAGAAAGTCAAGGGCGTTAATAATTCGAGTGCAATTGTCTTCTCTGCAACCCTGGAACGTCTATTGATTCTTATTTTAATTTCTGCTCTTCGTTCGTACCGTGGCTGTGCTCGTGACGAAACTACAACATTTTCAATTCGTACTTCGTTTCAGTGACGGTTCGTGAGCACCGATACTGAATATGTACATATGTATTTCACAATTGAACGTTACAATAACATTTATAGACTTGTGCAAGTTTGACTCGTGTTGCGTTCATATTGATTCAATTGTAATTTTTTTAAATCCTCGGCGATTCTATCTTTATTAATTCCAGTAAAGCCATATTCAAGGTTAAATTATATCAGTTTGACTTGAATCCGTAGGTAAACTGATCGGCGTAATTCATTTATCTTTTTAATTTATCCATTGTTCCACAGAATTCGGTCGGCTCACGGTCAATGATATCGATATTAATCAACTTCCAAAGCACGCATTTTATTGCGTGTGAACCAAAGGCGGAACTGCGATCAATATCTTGTCAATTTTATGAGACTGACGGGAATTCCGTGTCTTTGATCGAGAAGCGAGAAGTCATTTTGCGATTAAAATTTAAATGTACCATAGTGCGATATTATAGACACATATTTTCAAGCGTTATTGAAACTTTTGTTTCATAAATGCACTTTAAGATGGACTTATTTTATTTTATTGAGTAATTTCTAAATTTTTTGAAGCTCGAGATTACTGTGATCTGGTGCTATAGTTGCATTTAATTGCTTAGTATTTGAAAGTTTTGATGATGCAATGAAGATTTTGATGATGCTAGTCTCGTCGTGTTGTTGATGCAATACATTCTCTTTCTTGCCTCCAACAAAGTTCCTTCATTATCAATTTCCTTTAAAAGACCTAACTTACTGCTGAAAATCCTCTTGCAAGAAACATTTATTTACATCGTTTTTTCTAACCCTTGTGATCCACCTTATTTAACATTTTCATCTCACATTTTTCAACGTGGGTGACGTCAAGAAATACGATTAATAAACAGTTTTTCAAATGTAATCAGTTCTTCACTCTTTCAGTGAACCATTCTCAACGCTCTGATTCTCGCGGTGTTAAAATATCGGGTATTTTGAAGTTGACGTTCGCAGCTCGCAATTGTAAGTAGGTTAGCGACCACCCCTCATCCGAGCCCCCGCAGTCTCCTCCTCCATAACGGAGCTGCGACCTACTCAACCAGCCTGCACTCCATCCTCTCTATTACTAATGACTTATGACTCCGGGTATCCTCACTCAGAGAAATGAGTGAGATTATGTCCCAATAGTGATTCATTTTATGCCCTTGAGTGGGTCGTTCTGACCCAGTTTGGCCAGGCTAAAGATCGTATCAATGCTACGTTCGGTGTGGGCAAGAAATTGTCACAATGAAGCCAAATTTACCCATATAATTTTTCTGTTGACCTGGTTATGGGTCAATTTGGTTTCATTTTCTGGTCTTTTTTCTGATCTATTTTTTGTCTAATTTTCTGGTGACCTGGTAATTGTTTAAATTTGTGATTTTCACACACGTTTCCGTGGCCAATTTGTTTACCCTCGTGAATTAACCTTTTCAACTTAATTATTATGATAACTTTCTGTGTATAGTTCATTCTTCCGTTTCATCGCTCCTGCGAATTATGTCTGCGAGTTTAGGTTTTTTTTACTGGTGTATCGATGAGCAGTTTTTTTAATTCTTCATGGAGCAGTACGAACGCTTTTCTGGTCATATGTTCCTCAACGCCTATTCTGATTTTTGTCTTCCCTATAAGGTAGTTACTGAATTGACTACATTCATGGGCGACTTTGAACATGTTCATTAGTAAAATGAGCTATGTTTTTTTAAATATTAATGAATCAACGAAAAATTTAGTCCTGAGTAGCAATAACCGAACTTATTGTCAAGAGATATAATATTACGAATATTGATACCCGAAAAATACGTTGACGTAAAAATTAGGAACTAATTTCACGAAGCAAAATGTACGTACAAACAATATTATCACCAAGGAAGAGCTCGACTGTCGTGACGCTTGTCAACCAGTAACGTTAACAGTCCGTGACGCTTTTAAGAGAATTACATTCGTTCGTCACTTTGCATAGGAGTTTCGTGATGTCAAGTGGCGTGAGAGTGCGCTGGTAGCGTTATATCACCATGCCCTCATTTTCCTGGCATTAAGTGATGAAATTCTGGAGTGAACCTCGCAGGAAATGTACAGCGAAATTTTCTTCGTTTGCGTAGATTCGTATCGTGAAGATGACGTATATATCTGCAAACCAGTCATCTGACGTTGGAATAACGTTTATTAATGAACGTCGTTTCAACAAAATTAGCTCCTAATAAACGTGGTTTCAATGTCTTTTGTCAGAAGGGTGGACCCCAGTATTATTAGAAATGCAACAAATTTTATTGAACATAACCGTGTTATTTTTGTCATTTCGCCTCCACAAACGCTTTCAATTGTCGTTTTCTGCTTTTCGCAGAGATCCGTTCTGCATTCGAACTTCTTATAATTTATCGGCTGAAAGGTTGAACTCGTGATTATAGCGTTTACTGGCGCTTGTCTAGAGAATCCCGTAGCCGTTGTTCGTTAAAATAACGTTCGCTTCCATCAACGAACTTGGCTCCCGAAAACCGACTCTATTCTTTCATCCGTTGATGGAGGCGATGTCATTGGGCCTCGCCTGACCATGAGAGAAATCGCCTTTTTCAACCTCATTGAAATTGGGTTAAAATGTGGAGCTTTTAGTGGAGGAACTTCCTTAATTTCTCATTGTCTGGCTGAGTAGGTCCATTAGTGGCCTCCAGAACATCGTGTCCATTATCTGCCATGCAAGCGGGGTTTAACGCCGTCCTGTTAAAATAAACCGAGTTATCAGTAGAGAACTCGGTACATTGATGCTTCTATTAGACCGAGCTTCTGGCCTAGCATCAAGATAGAATTTCGATGATATAGGTATATAAAATAGAAGTTTTTTTTCTAGAATAATTCCTGATTTCTGTTAAGTTTACAGTGCTTCTTTTTTCCTTAGCTGAAATATCGGCATCACTGTTGATGTAACGCGATCACTTGAACTTTACCTTTTGCATTTTTTTAGTGTATGGTTTTAATTGTTGATCATTTTCCTTGATAATTTCAATCGCGTAACGTTGTTTGTTTGTCGCCAGGTACACAAAGTCAGCCAGTGTCCATCATATTCGACAACAAACAAACTATCGTCAACCCTGGCGAGAGTTTGAACTTGGATTGCGGAGTCTCTGGAGACTTCCGCTACTGTCACTGGGAGACCGGCAAGCAGAACGCCATTCAGGTCAGTTCCAAAACCCCAACACATTGGAAAATTGTTATCAGTTATCAGCGATGTATAGTTGTACGAGGCTTTCAATTTCGTAGGATTTTTAGATTTACTGAATTTGGACACATCCGCAGGATTTCTACTGAGATTTTGTATGCATACCGCATTCCCTTTTACCACTCCTCTATATTCTGTTGGCCAATTTGGTTCGGCCCAACGATATTGCTGTGTTGTGAACTGAGAACGTGAAATGATATGTATCATATTATACTACATGGGATGATGGTTGACTATATGCTGTTCAGATATATACTACATGTTGCAACTTTTCTACTTACTACTACAACTTTCTACTTTTCTTACAACTTTTCTACATGTCACAACTTTTCTATCTCTTGTCATAAAATGATTCGTCAGAGTTTTTAAATTGACATTATTGAGACAGAACTTCACCGACCATCATACAAAATTACGTTCATGCCACATCGCCATAGCCGCACGTTTGTTAAGCAAGTTTCAACTTGCGATGCTAACGACCGCTTGCCCAACCCCAGACAAAGCCGTACAACATTCATGAGTCCAATAGCGCCGTCTCGTACAGGCGGGCTATTGTTGTATGATGTCAATGGGTTTGCGGTTTGGCTTCTTCGTATATTAAACAGCTTTAGCTTATCTCACGGGCTAGCTTGGAGAATGATCTGAACGCTGCATGAAAGATCCATGACTTGGAACTTGAGAGAATTTTGTGTCCATATACATACATAGTTGGTTTTAGTTTTCATTCCGGGATTATGACCACCTAAAATTTAGTAAAATTCTTTATATGAACTTGTTCAGTTGTGAAAATTAATTCTCTGAAAATAAGATTTTTTCTATTTTAACGAGCATTAAACGTCCAGTCAGCACTGGCCATTTTGGTAGCATCATCATGTTAACCTCGTCCCGAATAGTTAAATTTCATGCAACACAACCCAGTGGGGCAACCCGCATTGTAAGTGTACCCGGTATACCAAAGCCCCTTTGAAGGCTATAGTCGCTTTGTCAGGTCGTTTACCCGACCTAGAACCTATGCAGCACGCTGCTGGACCTTTAACTTAGTCGACTTGTAAGGACCGATCCAAATATTTTATAAATAAAGTATTGTTGTTATATAAAACAAATACCTGTGCTCACTGCAGCTATGTATGAAATAGTTATTATTATTATTATTATTATTATTCTACAACGACGAACACTACGATTATCGTGACGTCTGGTACAATAGAACATCGAGAGTAAATCACACATTGAGAGAACTACGGAAAAGTTACGATTGAAAAAAAGGCTCTTCGCAAAAGCAAACTCTGCTGGCCCGAGTTTTGTATTCATAAAGAAGTCATTGTATACTGAAGCGAATCTAGTGCTTGCTCAAGCATAGACTTGTGAGTTTGACATCCGTGCACAGAGCCNGAGCCGCGCTCGAACGTGTTCATGACGAAAACAAATATCGCCCTAGAAGAAAGCAGGGGCAAATACGTTAGCAGTCTGGTTGGATATACTCTTATTTCAGGAAAAACTTGTGTTGCTTCTTTTTTTTCTATTTGTAAATATATTTTTATTTGGAAATTTTGATCACTTGACCACTTGATCACTTCCGTTCGAGGTTTAAGATACTACAATATTACTTCGTCGGAATGTACTATTATTTCAAGCTTTATAGGTAATTCGAATGGTTGGAAGTGGATAAAATGATATCTACGTAACAGTTTTTTTGCCTCAGTTAGAATAGAACTGATTTGGTTGGTATGATTTGGTCACAGCACGGCTTACATGTGAGGCCAATAGCCGCTCCGTAAATGTCAAAAGGTTCTCTTCTCATGCGTTACACATACATGCGCAATACCGCATCGTGCATTCTACATCTCGCATACTGCACCCTGCGAGCCATATTTTGTACGCTGTATCTTGCAATCCAAATCTTGCTTATTGTATCTTGCGGGCATATTTTGTATAGGTACTGCATCGTGAATGCAGCTTCTTGCATACGTACGGTATCATAGCTGAAGCACAACCTTTTCCATCGATCAGTCCGCTAAAGCGCTTCTTTCTTTCTTTCCTCTTTCTGTTTTTTCCTGCTAAATTTTTGTATAATCGTGCAAATTGTGCTCTCATATTTTCAATTTGCTTTATATTTTCTATCTATCAGTTATTCGACCTTAATAAATAAGAGATCTCAGTGATTTTTCCTTTGAAAACAATCCGTAATGTTTAATTTTATTAATTTCCTCGAGATTAATACAGCGTGGATAAAACAAGAGTAAGTAGAAGCCCATTTTTCTCCTTATATAGGACCTTTAAAAATATTTTGCTTCTAGTGTAATCGGTTCTCGTGTATTGTTCTTCAAGCATTTAAATTCCGTGAAGCCGATGGCTCCGTATACCAATATTTAATCTCGTAAAACGCTCAATTTAAAAATGAGATGTATCACTTCACCGTATCTTGTTTACAGGTACAAGATGTATACGACGGTTACATTGAAGGCCTCAGCAAGCCTCAGATTACGAAGGGCAACGAGTGCGGTATCGTCATCGATGCTGTCACCATAGAGGACCACGGCCCGTGGACGTGCAAAGTATTCGTCATCGGTCACACGCTACAGAACTCTAAAAACGTCACCGTTACAAGTATGCTTAACTTCCATCTTGTCTGAGAAGCTTTTTTAGCTTATTTTAGCTTATATAATCATATTCATTATAATTATTACTTTTATTGTTATATTGTATTGTGTACTTCTGTGTGAATAGTCACTGACTAACTAAATATTATCAAATTTGGACATCACTGATTACTGATTTACAAAATAATTTTGAAAATATAACTGAAAAGCGATAAATTACCTAATTATAAAATAGGAACTACATGCAATGGCAGATCTCAGACTATCTCTTGCAACACGCCATCTTCCCATGTTAGTATGTACCAATATTTCCTAATACTAATGTTTGTATTACTCAGTGTTCAATATAATCTAAGGGAAATTATTTTCACAGTTAAACCCACGAGTCCAATCCTGGAGGTGGCGAGACGTCCGCTGATCGTGACCGAGGGAGACACTGAGACGATCAGCTGCTCAGTGGCCGCTGCCAGACCCAGAGTCCAGATCCACTGGTTCTTGGGAGACGAAGATATCACCTACAGCTCCCGTGTTGAGAACTCCCTTACAGATAACATGGTCATTATCATGATAATTTGGTCATTATTATGATAATTTGCTCATTATTGTGATAATTTGGACATTATTATGATAATTTGGTCATTATTATGATAATTTGGTCATTATTATGATAATTTGGTCATTCTTATGATAATTTGGTCATTATTGTAAAGCTTGGGCCTTTTTCAGAACTTTCTCACAGATAACATGGTCATTATCATGATAATTTGGTCATTATTATTATTATAATTTGGTCATTATTATTATAATTTGGTCATTATTACGATAATTTGCTCATTATCATAGAACTTGTGCCGTGTTGAGAACTCCCTTATAGATAACATGGTCATTATCATAGATACCTCATTATAATAGAACTACCCTAATTTTTGGGCAGTTTACTGAGCATTTCGTTAATTATCAACTTGTTTCATCACCGATAAGGGGCCTCAAATTTGATCTGTCACCGAGAGCCTGATTTTTTTATTTAATTATGGAGACTGAGCTTATCTTAGTCTATGGATTATTTACTTATTTACCTTAATCTTTTACCTGTTTGGAGAATTAGGTCCGTTTGTTAGTGATTTACATAAATATTTGACCCGTTATCAAGCAATTTAGTAAATTTGTCCATTTACTGTTTAATCCTGTCTTTACTGTTTGATCCATTACCAAGCAATATAGTAAATTTGTTAGTTACTGATTTACTTAAATGATTGACCAGTTACCAAGCAATATAGTAAATTTGTTGGTTACTGATTTACTTAAATGATTGACCAGTTACCAAGCAATATAGTAAATTTGTTGGTTACTGATTTACTTAAATGTTTGACCAGTTACCAAGCAATATAGTAAATTCATTTGTCACACAGGGCACATACAAGAGCATCTCGACACTGACGCACATGTTCAAGGCGTGGCACAACAAGAAGCCGCTACACTGCATCGTGTCGCACTACACGCTCCTGTCGCCCATTGAGGACTTCGTTGACGTTCAAGTCAAATGTGAGATATTCTTATATATTCGTAATTTCGTATTCTTATAGTCAAATGTGTATAGTCAAATGCTAGATATTCTTATATATTCGTATTCTTACAGTCAAATGTGAGATATTCATCGCATTAATAGTCACATGTGTATAGTCATATGTGAAATATTCTTCTTAATTGTCAAATGAGTGCTAAGTGCCAAGATTTCATCCCTATCAAGCCATGGCTATAATAATTCCCCCGCACCACTCAATCCCCTCTTCCCCCAGACAAGCCTTGGGGTAAGGACGTGAGGCTGTACGACATCAGACTTGGGGATGACGTTGAGGCTAAGGTGAACTTCTCGTCGAACCCTCCCCCCAGCGACATCAAGTGGGGCTACGCTCCCTCCTACGAGCAAGTCGCTGCTGTGCTCCCCGTGCCTGGGGAAGAGGGGAGGTACTCCACGGAGATGCTGGTGCGTGGCACTTAGCTTTATTATATTATTATAGTTGTCACCGGCCAGAGCTACTACAAGTCAATCTGAACGTTAGGCTTGTAATTCACTATCAGGATCGAATGCTCACCGCTCATAGGCCAGGACAATATATGAATAAATTCCAGGCTACTGTGCTCATTCATCTAACCTACAATGCCGTTCAACTCTCCTAGTCATCGTCAGTTAAAGCCGGTTCAGTGGCTGTGGTATATAATCACGACAAAGCACACTTAAAATAGTTTATTGAATCACTTTGTTTAAAATCAGTAAAACATGGTAAAGGGAAAGCACAAATTCCGACTAAAATAACTATTCAAAGAGACGTTCAATTTGGTTCTATTCCATTTACTATTGCACCGCATTAATGCACGTAGTTAAGGTTACCGTAATTCGCATAGGCGAACGAAAGCAGGTTAGACTAAATAGTCACGGGACAGCCACAACTCCAGCGTTAAGCAAAGAATGCTGAGAGTTAACAGAGCTGAGCAGGTTCAGGTATAAACCTCACTATAGGGCTGGCGGGACACGACTCCTACCTGACGCACAGACGCTCAGACCTGACCTAGTACTAGACAGTTCTAACTGCTATAGGTCTGACTCACATGTCACTGGCGCGGCTTCGCCAGACGTAATAGAATTATTTCGTCACAAGAAAATGCACATTGAATAAATTAGTGAACGATTTTCCTCGTTCACATAGTTAAATTAATTATTAATTTATTTAATCTGTTATTAATGTGTTATTAATTATAGTGGAAGGGGATTTATTAATCTGTTACTAATTATAATGAAAGTGTTCGGGCAAGACAAACTACCTAATTGTAGGGTCATTCACGGAAACTTCATGATTTGAAAACTCAATAAGAAAAGAACTACCTAGTGAAGATATTATTATAATGTAAATTTTATTGAAAAAGGCATTACCTGAATTTTTATATCGCTTAGTTTTAGAGATGACATTGGATAAATGACATCCTCCATTGTCAGTGCTTTCAGTTAGTCGATTTTTGAAGTTCCTTTCAACTCGCTGAAGCAAATTGACAAGTATGTTGGCGATAGTTTGGCGTATGTTGTTCTGAGACTTCCGAGCAAGAACACGACTTGGAGGACAGATACGGAACCGAGTACGTAATGCCAGTTGAGTAGCGATAGTGGAACGGACATAAGAAAAGTACGCTTCGACAGCAAACGCACGCTGCTCACTTGTCCAATGCATAGTGCCAACTGACAAGGCGGGGCACGCAACTTCATGACCTTTCCTTTTATATAAAAGGGAGCCCCGCTCTTTTCCTACAACATCTGGCTGCTTGGCACGATATTCAAAACAGGAAGTTTGCGTGAAACACCCTCTATTATGTTATTTAAATAACCGAGATAAGTTGTTCACCAAAATGCTGGTGCGTGCGACTTTATTTTTTATTTCATTTTTGTATGGCTTGTAGAACAAACTATTACGTTCTCTTGTTAATTTCTTATAGCTTAGGTTGTTATAGAGGTTCTCTCTTATAGAGAGAGGTAAAAGGTTATTATAGCTTGTATATTTCCTGGTAGTAACGAATTCGTAATTTTCAGACCCTGGAGGACGGTTCGTACAGCGTCATTCTCCGCGTGCTCGGCTTCGACGAGATGGACGCACGCATGAGCTTCCATATTAAAGTCGCCAACGACATCGGCGCGCGTGACTTTACCATCAACCTCTCCACTGACGAGGCGCCTAATGGTTAGTTAGTCGTCCTATGGTTGATGGTAGTTCATCAAATGTTTGATGGAAGTTCATCAATCAATGGTTGACAGATGTTATTCATTTAATGGTTGATGAAAGTTCATCATTCAATGGTTGATGGAAGTTCATCATCCAACGGTTGATGGAAGTTCATCATCCAAGGGTTGAGGGAAGTTCATCATCCAAGGGTTGATTGAAGTTCATCATCCAATGGTTGATGAAAGATCATCATCCAATGGTTGCTTGAAGTTATTCATCTAATGGTTGACTGAAAGTTCAGCGCACTCGTGCACACAATAATTTGCTTTTTTTTCCTTATACGCGACATGATTTCATCTTCTGTATTACGGGACTGTTCTCTAAACTGAGCCATTTTAGCAGATGGTTGTTACAAGCCTGATCTGAGGGGTTAGTTTTGAATAGAGAAATTGATCTCAACTTGATCCTGAAAACTTTTTCAACTTGAACACTCTTTTTACTTCGCTGGGTCAGAACCGAAAGACTGAATTAAACTCTTGCAACTTTTAACTATGCTCGTTCAACTGACGTACCTATCTTATAATTAATAAGCAAAAAAAAAAATTCACCGAAAAATTTTGAATTTATAAATTTTTCGTTTCAGCGATCGAAGTTTTAACATGTTAGATGAACTACTAATCACTCGTATACAAAGATAATTATTTCCTTTAGGTTCCAAGTAAGCTCTTGTAATTGAAAATTAAAATGTATTAAACTTGATTAGTTTCGTTGTAACGAAAGTTTTACGTAACAAAGGAAATGAGAGTGACGGGAAGCGTTCGGTGGCACGACATTAACAAAAAGCTGCATTGCTAGCGCACTTCTGGACCTTCACTGTTAAATATCTTCATCCTGTTTTTACTTAGCTGGGTCAGAACCAAAAGACTGAATTAAACTCTTACAACTTATTAACCATGTTTCGTTCAACTGACTTTCCTTATAATTACCGAGCCGTAAAAATTTACCGATATTGCAAAATTTTGAATTTAAAAATTTGTCGTTTCAGAAATGGAAGTTTTAAAATGTTAGATAAATTAATAATTACTCGTATACAAAGAATAATTTCCTTAAGTCCAAGCTCTTATAAATTACAATTGATTAAACTAGATTGGTTTCGTTATAACGAAAGTTTTACGTAACGAAGGAAATGAGATTGACGGGAATCGTTCGGTGGCACGACATTAACAAAAAGCTGCATTGCTAGCGCACTTCTGGACCTTCACTGTTAAATATCTTCATCCTGCTACATTTATCATCCTTATAATAATAATAATAATATTAAATTAATCCATAACAACCTCATTCTGTCCTCACCTTATCATGGGATAACATATTTTGGTGTACATACCTGTTACTCTAACATCAGTTTCACCAGTTGCTTACCAGATTATATATGCATGCCTATTTGTTCCAATTTTATTTCATAAGTTTTGGTGTTTCTATGTTCGTCAGGATATTCAGTTGATGATCATTTTTTATAAATATGATTTTGCTATCATGTCATTCATGTCATATATCCCTTGCAAATTATATCATCAATTATCATCATCGTAATGTTTTAGTCACAGTTTATTGGTTTCCAATGTCGTAAAAGCGTGTCGAAATCCACATATAAACTCCCATTCATTTTTTTAAAGTAACTCCAATGTTAATTATTTTGCTCAAGTCGCCGGCGTCTGAGCAGGTTGTCGTATCACTTATACGACATTTTACGATATTACTTATATCGTAAATGGATTTATTGTAACATTGGATCGTGTTCTCCTCTCCCTCCCCTAGATCAGTTAGCTGATGGCTACGATAATGTCGCTACATCTGATCAAATTCAGTCACAAGGTAGAGTGTTATTCTCCCATTAATAATGCTATGGTCAAGTAAGTGTGGGTGACAGTGGGGGCAGGGTCCGTGTTCGATTTGTCGAGATATTGTGCCCGAAAAATATACTCTTTACATTGAAATGCACTCTCTGTACATGCTCATAATGAAATCTGAAATCCGAACAAATATAACATACCCGCTGAAATATATTAAGCATGTAAGCAAATGCCTGTAGTTTTCTGAGATAACTATCGTTAATGGAACTGTGCACTTTAATTTGGTGTTCTTGACATGATTAAATTAGTTTTCCATTGCCAAAGCCTCACACTTGTAATTTTCTTTTGTCGTATATCCGGGCATTAACGAATCGATTAATTAACACTAAAATTTATAGATGTCTTGAACAGTTTTTTAAACTGTTTTTGTTAAGTTTTCGGGCACAATGTACAGGCAGACGGTGGGGTGACGTAGAGTTGACGGGGAATTTTAACGCAGGAAAGAACGACAGATCAAGTTTGCCGCCATGCGATCCGATTGTTGTTTAAATCTCTCGATGCCAACAAAATTTTACTATCATCTACATTTGTGCCTGAATGGACAATTAATAATTAAATAAAAGCTTTACATGTTAGCCCTTTTCACCAACTTCACTTGATAATTTACGTAATATATAATTTTATTTCAGATATTCTCAAATATTGGCTTAACTAATTTGGTCGTACAGCAACCTTTATCTGTTCTGGCGATAAGACGCTTCCATTCTTGCTAGTTACTTCGCGTATTTTTCTCAAAATCTGCGCGAGTTTACTTGCGTATTTGGTCCTTCGTGGAGCTTCTTACTGGTGACTTGTTCTGAAACTACACAACTGGGTATACTGACAGTCTTCCGTTGTATCGTTACTGGCTTGTTCGGGTGGACCTTTGGCCACTCAATCTGAGGTATCTTTGATGGCTTGATCTAGTGTATCTTTGATGTCTTGATATGGTGTATTTTTACTAGCTCGAAGTGAAGTATCTTTCATGATGCAATCTGATTTATCTTAGATGGCTTAATCTGATGTATCTTTGATGACTTGATCTGAGGTATCTTTGATAGTTTGATCTGATGTATCTTGGATGGCTTGATCCAAATTTTCTCTGGTGACTTAATTGGATGTATTTTCTGACGATATCTTATCAATTTATTAGACGCCAGTAGTGCGAGGTTCTTACTAAGTGCAGTATTTTGTGACTCCAGATGGACGATGGGAAATGTGGCGACAAGAAAAGTGTAAACCTTTCTTCGAAGGCTTCAATTAGGCTTCACCATTTGATTTTGTAATTGCTCTACCATATATCTCACTTAGTTGTACAATTGATCTGTTTCGGTATTTGGTCTTTGCCTCAACTGCTTCTTGAAACTCGTAAATTTCTTTTTCAAACCCCATTTTAGCAAGCGTCTTGCGTATTTTCCCTGTGATGGCATTTCACCTTCAGGTTTAGCGGCATCCCGTCATCTGATTTTCATTCTCCATCTTCACGCTTTGGTTTTATCAAGTTTTTTGTCTGTGCACCGCTAATTTAATTAGCAACAGTATTTTTTACCTCTAATTTCTCCGGTTATTTGTGGTTTCCAAATAGTTTCTCACCTTGTTGGTCCTTCCATAAACTTGACTTTTTTTTTGCACTTCACTCTTTTATTTTCGCTGCAAAAACTATAGCATTTAAGTTATCGTTATTACAAGTTTTTATTATTGTTATTGTATAATTATCATAATTATTGTTTTTCTTCTGCATTCAGGTAAATTACTATTTGCATGATGAATAACGCGCAATTATTCCTTTTTCTTTATTGTCTTTTGGGAAATAAAAGCTTTTTTCTATTTTGCGCTTGGTAGATTGCATTATCTTGGTTTCTTCTGCCACGCGTACAACATTAGGATGCCACTTAAATGTCTCGGGCATTACTACTTAAAACAATAGTTCTACACTACCTAAAACTCGTAATATAACTATTTAAAACTTGTAGTACTAATTATTATCGTTATTATTGGATAGATTGATTTAAATCCCACATTTTGTTATTGCACTTGCGTCATTCCTAGCCTAGCTTAAAGTTTTTTTTATTGCTCAGTACGGCTAGTATAGCATCTTCTCCACCCTAATGTTCTAGTAAAACTTTTTTCTCCAGAAAAAATCTAGGAAATCAGCATGGAAAAACCAGTCATGAGGGCCTTTCAAAAGTCGGTCAATCGCTTAAAGTTTTTTTATTCGTTTATTGAATATTGCTGTAGAATTACCTATTTTATGTTTATTTTTTACATACGAATAAGAGTGTGATGATTATAATTTTGGATATGCACAGGGCTGCGCTTCTTGATCAATGTGTTTTATATGAAATGATTTCGTTCATAGTTATATCATGAATCAATTAGTGAACAAATGAATATGTACATACACAACCCTATAAAACTAAGTTTCTCGTAGTCAATTGAATCTTGTTTGAATATCAAGCTTGATCTTTTCTAGAGCTTGTAGATTCTTCTTTGCGAACTCGCGCATTTTTAATGTTGGTCACGCACGGTCAAAAATTTTGTGCACTTGGTATTTTTAATCATTCATTTTTTATTTATTTTTTAGTTCATTACCGACACAATTCAAAGTAAAGTAAATGCATGGAAAATATTTTTTATCTAATGTTTGATTAATTTTTAATTTCTTCAACGTTATGTTCTTAATACTTGATGGATGTCCTATGCCGCAGAACAACAATATTACCGCTAATTTTGATGAAAATACCACGAAAATTTACGATATTTTCCGTAGAATTATTTTCACTTTTCTTCACCCTAAATTTCGACCCAATTTTGAGAACTAATTGCGACCTAATTCTTTACTAACTAAAATACTTTAACTAAAATAACTATAGATTATTAAAATATATAATTATTGGTGATTTTCCGCACAGAGCCTCTGAGCAGCGGCACTTTGGCCGCGATTGTGGTGGTGGTGCTGCTGGTGATACTGGTGCTGCTCTGCGCTGTGTACATGAAGTACAATCACCTCTACTGTTTTGGTGAGTAATCACCCCTTTAAACTCTCTTCCGGTGTGTTAGAGTACTGTAATATATTAATTATGATTTAAGGATAATCACCCCTTTAAACTGTCTTCCGGCGTGTTAATTAGAGTAATAAATTAATAATGATTTAAGGACACTAGGTAATTAATGTACCTGAATAATTAAGTACATTAATTCAGAAATCTATTCTCGGAATTCAGAAGTCTTTTCTCATTTTAATTTTATTGATTTTCAAACTTTTATTAATTAACCTTCGTCATAAAATTTTTCGTTAGAATTTCATCGAAAATTTTCGAATTAATTCAACATTCGTGCTTCTCATACAGATTCACACAAATTTGATGTAACTAATTCGCTATCTTCTTGAACTAATTCACAATGAATGAAAGTATTCAAAAACTTTTTCGCTGCTGCATCAGACTTGGACCAACATGACGTATTCATGAATAAAGTGTTGAATATTGATGACAAAATGTGACCAATTCTTCCAATTCAACTTCGAGAAATATTAAATGAATGCATGACTGATGGTTTTTATGACATTTTCACTATCAATGTATATGAAGAACATACATTGTACATGCTATCGTAGATGCTTTTAACTATAACGGTTATCCGTGTTTTTGGCTTCCGGCTTTACTAATCTCCTTTGCATGTTTTTATTGTCTTTCCCTTTGCATGGTTGTTGCTTTTATCCCTTTTCGTATTTATTGTGTATTGCTGCATTGCATGTTCCTACTCGTATTGCATTTATTACCTTCGTCGTTACTTATTCATACTTTATAAATTTCAGTATAACATGAACGGTACTTGTAATTTTTACTTGAATACTCAACCTTCAATTTTATAATTTTTTAACACATTTCATACAATTGAGAACTCACGGTACCGAAATTTGCACTTGGTAAGAAAAATAAATAATAGGTACTTCGTCGAATTTTGCAATTAGAAAGTATCCTCCGAATATGCCATTACATGAATTGCTATACGTTTGAATTACACGTTTGTATCATGAAAATTACCTACTATATGGCCTAAGTTCTCTACTTGCCTATAGTAATAGGTTTGGCTTTGGTATCTATTTACGAATATCAAGTGCATACTTCTATAAAAAAAATGACAGTCGAGAACCGCAGTAATTATTGCCAATCGTCTCACGTTTATCTTTATTCTTTGCCTAAATATTCGTATTAGAAATACTGATAATTGTCGTACAGAAGCCTGTGATGCTTGCTTCAACACTGTTAGAAAAATTACCGTTAACAGTATCACCGGTGTTTCAGTGGCCGGTAGGCACGTGAAAAAAAACACCGTTTCACCGTTTTTTATTCTAATTTATTACTAGGAATCCGTAAAACATCTGATGAAAACGGTGAAACAGTTTATTTTCACGTGGTGACCGGCCGCTAGAATGCCAGTGGGACCGTTTTTTCACCGTTTTTTCTAACAGTGAAGTGTTTGTCCTCTCTAGTGTTGCTTTTAGTGATATCTATGCTTTTATTTCTACGCTAATCGTTTTACAATGAGTTTCATCGTAAGTTTTATGCTTCTCAGAACAGGTTGTTGTCCATGCAGTCTGTAGATCGTAAGACTATCGAGTGAGTAAATTTATTGACAAACAAGTTTGATGTTTAATTAATGAAAAATATTAAAAGTTTTGTAATTATTTGTCAGTACGCATAGTATCTCCTACGCCATAGAACAATTAACTCAATTGAGTTAATTTAGGTACATGCTCAGGAAAGTGATAAAATTATAAGATAAAAATAGTTTAATCAGTTCAACTAATTTGCAAGTGTATGATTATGCAAATTGAGTAGTAGTTGATCTAACCCGCTTGTGTCGTCCAAAGGATAGTGGCGTGCTACTTGATTGTGCTGCTTACGATTTATGTGGTTAGTTTACTCGTGTAGACTAACTATTAATTTACTTGTCATGTATAATGTAATGCTAACAAGCTCACATTGTATCTGAACGTTTTCTTTGCGTTGTTGGAAGATAATATTTTTTGTTTATCAATTCATTATTTTACGATTGCCCGTAAGTTCATCGAAAATTGTGCGCGTCAAAAATGTACTTACGTAACCATGTTGGTTAAAAATATAATTTATTCCACTATCTCATTACTATCAATTAGACAAAGATGAAATAATTTACATTACATGACCTTATTTGATTCGCGTAATTCCTGCACAATCATGTACATTCATTCAATTCAATATTTCATAATGAACTAGAAAATTATTTGTCAAACAAAAAGTACATTTACATTTTATGTGAAAGTTTTTCTATTTGCATTTGTCCAGTTTACATCATTTTTGCTTCTTGCCTCATTTATTATTTTGAAAGTCGACCATCACATGTGCATGCCGCCTAGCAGCTTAAATTAAAGTTGTTTTAAATTAATACAAATTTTAAGCGACGGCAGCAGCTTCATTGCCTTAAATTAATACAAATTTTAAGCGAAGGTAGCAGCTTCATTGCCTTAAATTAATACAAATTTTAAGCGACGACAGGTTTTTATAGATTTTCATATCTTTGCTTTATTGCTTTGAAGTAATGCAATTTTTATCGAAACGTAAAACAGTTAGTAAGTGTCCTTACTTCGTTGCTTTGAATTAATGCAAACTTTATAAAAACGTCAAATATTTTTTAATTGATGCTTATGTCCATGCTTCATTGCCCTAAATTACTACAAATTTTATCGATACATCAAAGATTTTTAATAGGTTGTCAAATTAACTTTTTCTTAGTATTTTTTTTATAGACTTGGGAAGTTTTCTCAATGCGTGTTGGTTAGTGTCGTGGTGCTGTCTGTAATCGCGATCAGACGCGCTTTTCTCTTACTGATTATCTTTACAATTGTTATTTTGAGACACACAGATATCACAATAGTCTTTTGATAATTTAATTAGTGTTTTTTCTCTCGATTGGTCTTTTTTATATGCTTTAAATACATGTAATGGTTTCGGATTTAGCGTTTTCCATTCTATGGGGTTAAAAAAAACAACCACGATTCATATTTGTCCAAATTTCTTGCTCTCACATTTAACTTATTTATCAAGAAAAGATTACTTGAATCGGTAATTCAATTCATTCAATTTATAATTCAATTGGTTCCATTGCGGTGCTTGTTGTCTGTATTTTCTAAAGCTTTTTTTTTCACACTTTATTTGGCTTCGTTTTTACGTTGTTTCCGTGCTTATTCAGTATTGAAATTATACGCCATGTTGGTTCACGTCTGTTGCGGCATTTTCAATGTTGTCAATTAATCTTTTATTCCTGTATTCGTCAGTAAATCGTAACGATTACAAAAAAATAAGCGAATATTATTTCGAAATTTTATCCTATTCTATGTTCGGACGGCCGCTCCACAATATTTATCTTGGCCCTGAATGTGAACATGGATAACAAAAATAGAAAAATGTTTAATCTCTTGATAGTTCATTTAAAAAAGTGTTATATCGAACTCTTGGGAAACAATCTCCCATTTTTGCTATTTTTCAACCCATCTGTTTAATTACAGAACAATAAGAAGCTGTCGTGCAGCTTATTTCGATTTGTTCACAAATCTAAACATGTTTTTACGAGCTACATAACATTGTCGTGCGTGTTGATGGTGACCGTGGAGTGTGTCGTGCGTGTTGATGACCGTGGAGTGTGTCGTGCGTGTTGATGGTGACCAAGGAGTGTGTCGTGCGTGTTGATGGTGACCATGGAGTGTGTCGTGCGTGTTGATGGTGACCATGGAGTGTGTCGTGCGTGTTGATGGTGACCGTGGAGTGTGTCGTGCGTGTTGATGGTGACCGTGGAGTGTGTCGTGCGTGTTGATGGTGACCGTGGAGTGTGTCGTGCGTGTTGATGGCGACCGTGGAGTGTACCGTGCCTGTTGATGGCTTTGAAGCATTGTACACATTGATAGTCGTGGTGTATGGTGCGTATTTCAGCGGAGAGAGCGGAGAGCAAGGCCTACATCCAGGACCACGCTGCCGAGGCGGGCGACTTCCAGCACACGCTCGGTGCTCACAACAACGAAGCCGTTAAAGCCTCCAATGATCAGCTCAACGGCAAGCTAGAAAAGCCGGAGAACAACGTAACCACTCTCAACGGAAACGGAAAAGCCACCGCTATCGATCACAATGACTTCAGTACGGTGCCTGCTGAAGAACGGATTAACACTGACGTGTGATCGAGCTTTGATCTACTCTAGTGGTTATTTTATTAATTATTACTCTTACATTTCAGATAAGGTACTATCTTACCCATGACGTGATGTGCATCCTATTAGTATTTCCATTCCTTCTTAAGATGATTCCGCGGTTTGTAAAATACGCTGATATTAATTACTCTCGACAACTACGTACTTTTATCACTCGATATTTCTGATCGTGTTTAATGGGGATAATTAGATGCGGGCTGAAAGGTAATAGAGCAGACGCGTTGCTTAACAAAGTTATTACCTGCTTTTAATTGACGTGTCACTGGTGAAGTTATTAATTTTATAACTGCAGGGTCTATACAAATTTCTTTTATATTTCTGTTGTCGTGTGTGCATATCAAAAACACTAACCACATCCACGCATCGTTGATGTGTTAAGTACGTCTAGGAGAAATCAGCTTCGTTTACTGTACTTGTGTATATTAGGCTGTATAATGGAGCGATGCTCCCAATATCGAACCGCGTTCAACATTCCCTATATTATTATCATCCCAAAAAAAACGACGATGAACTTAGTAAATTTAAGTGCTCTGTGACCCCTCCTCCTAGGCGGGTGGTTACTCTAGGGGGGATGTTATGCGCTTTCTATAGACGAGGTTTGCTTCGTCTACAAGGAGGCTGTTTCTCACAAAATATTCTAGGGCATATACATAGAAATTGAGCATTAATTTGTGTGCTTGTGTATATTGGCTGGATTTTTTTTATCAAGTGTTTCTTGTTGGTGTGCCTGTAAATTCTGCTGCACGATTCTCAGGTTATAATTTTCTGGTATAACTGCGTTCTATTTGGCATGATTCTTTCAACGCATTTTATCATCATTCAACATTTTAGCTTCGTGACCACGGATAGGAAACATTAAAAAAAACTGATCTTTCTATCGCGTGGTAAAAATTCTTTAAACGAGTTTTTCGTTACAAAATTTGTCTTTTCGATAGGTTGTCAAAGTAAAATCAGAGACAATTAAGTATGCAACCATATAACAATTAATTTTGACTTCTGTTCATTTTTTCATATGAAGTATTGCGCCTTTTCCAAAACGCTTTGTTTCCGAATTTAACTGGTTTTCATGATCTCTTCAATTATGGCTCAAATTATTCATCACTAAATCTTGCCTTCTTGCTGATCTTTTCCTGCATTAAATTTACTGATTCAGGTTGTAAGTTTTTCCTCATTTAATTGAACTTTCATTGAAAAATCTTGATGATTAAACTTGTGCTTCTCGAAGTCTGTACGGGGATTCATAAAAAATGTCGCTGCATATTGTGGTATAATATTTCTACGTGTTTGTTCTCTATGAAACCTTGCTGTCCTTGGAGTCAAATTGCGTTTCTAGTATGCATAGTTCTCTAGAAGTGTGTATCTAACACTATAACCGTTCTAGGTGATGTATTAGACTCGTTCATTTTCTACGCGCTGTCCTAGATGATCTATAATTTGTCTAGAATTTCCTCCTGTAAAATTTTGTGAAGGAGCATTGGTTGGATCTCATTCTTCATACGGTGATTTTTTTAGTAAATATCCTTCGATATTTATATGGAACGGAGGGTTCAAGTTGAGCGAAGTGTAAGACTGAAGGTAGAAGCATTTGTTAACGTTAAATTTTTATTTCGTTCGAGTAGGTTATTGAAGTTGTATTTAAAAAATCTGAGTATCGTTTATAACTTGCGTCTTTCTAGTGAAAATTTTGAGCAGTTATGATCATTATATTTTTTCCGTGATAGTAACTTGACTGTTGATCGTTGAACTTGGAAAAATTGTATTCAACGTTGGAATGTTGATGAGTAAATTCGAAGCCCAGTTACCGTGGGCATCCCTACCTACTTAAGATAAACTCGTTTGCATGCTTGTAAACGAACTAATTAAGATAAACATGTTTACGTGCTTGTGAAGGGAGAAATAACTAAAATGAACTTGTTTACATGCCTGTAAAATCTTTATGATCCACCTTAGCCAATAAGAAAACACAAAGATGTTATTGTGAGTGACCAAGAGATGATGCGTGTCTAGCTCTGTTGTCGAAAGACTCGATTTTTTCAAATTCTTTGCTGTATCGCTGGTTATTATTTACATGTATTATAATTTCTAATTTCTAGCTCGCCAGCAATTTCTATCGGTTTAAATATTGCTTGAATATCCGCAGATTATTCTTTACAGTGAGCGATAGCCAATTCCGATATGAATTCGATATTTTGATTCTTGAATGGCACTTGTTCTAGAATTTTTCTTGTTTCGTGATTTCATGCTGAATATTGAGATGGTTTTCCAAGAAATTTCATGAAAGATTTGCATGATGTTCAAAATTTTCACGGAGATTTGAGTTGCCGTCACTGGATATCTCGCTTTAGAGATCAAATAAATTTTCGCACCAGGATGGCGTTTTGCATATTTTTTACGATCATTGACGTGAGTTTTGTTGATAAATTCACTGAATTTTACGTCTTGGATAGGCATGAGTGTATGGATCATGCAACTGTATTTTAATTTAGTGTAAGAATGTGTGCTGAGAGTGAACGATATTTTGAAAATAAATGAATGATGCGAAGCTTTTTAGTTTTCATCCTTGTCTCTATAAACGCTGGCTCGCGTCGAGCTTTCTTTAAAGTTTCCAAGTGGAAAAATGAAATGGTTTCGAAATGTAAGTCATAATGGAAACTGGATATTTTATATTATAATTATATTCTATTTTTTTTTTTACAATAGAAAACTGAATTCAATTACTACTCCTTTGTTGATTCATAGCAATATTGAACGAAACTAACGGAACAACACATTAACTTCAATCGTTCAAGTAATTAAATTTTAGCTTAGGTCTATCTTTATACTTTTTTTCCCTTTCATTTCTTGGCGTTTCACTTTTTAATTATTTACTAATGCACTATTTACAACTATCCACCTTAAAAATCTGTCCTCTCACTTTCTATCCACTTGACGGCTATTTATATTACTAATTCGTTCAAAGTTCTATTAACTTGCGAGTTGAATATCCTCTCTTCTTTATCCGGAAATTATCGGTGAATTATTATTCTCCGGAAATTCTCGCGTATTTCTTTTGGCTACTCACTTCTTCTGTCACTTCAATGCTTGCGTATATTGGTGTTTCTTCCATCCTGTTAGTAATCTACCGAGACTTCTACACTTACGAGGCACCGTGTGAGTACGCATTTTAGTTACTCGTATTAATACACAATAATACATAATACACAATTATTGTAATAATTACATTATTTTAACAGCTGAAAAGAAGTCTGCAAAGGAAGACCGAGAAGCGAATGGGGCAAGGTAAGCAAAATATGCGAAGCAAAACTCCAATTATTTATTATTAACAATTCCCATATATCCGTTGACGTTTTTTCCAAGTCTTCGATGAAAATTTTAAGATTAAAAAAATATTGTACTGCATTACCAAGAACTGTTGAACGGTTTTGCCAGTGGTCAGAGAGTCAACTATCTCAAGCTCCAGCTAGAAATTTTGTTCGGCTTATCGAAAAGAACAATAAGAAAATCGTAAATAAAAAGTACGCTCTGGTCTTCAACCAAACCTGTATTTTATTATTTATAACGTAACAACCTTGTACGACACGTATTCGTAGATTTTATTATTTATAACATAACATTGTATGTCACGTATTCGTACATTTTATTATTTATAACGTAACAACCTTGTACGTCGCGTCTTCATTTTATTATTTATAACGTAACAACCTTGTACGTCACGTATAAATTATATTATTTATAACATAACAACCTTGTATGTCACGTTTTCGTACATTTTATTATTTATAACGCAACAAGCTTGTACCTCAAGTATACACTTTATTATTTATAACGTAACAAGCTTGTACTTCACGTATATATTTATTTACGTCACATATAACGTGCCTACAGTGACACAGAGAGCGCGCAAGCCCCAGGGTTCGTGGACCGTAACAAGCTGCAGGCTACGAGCCTCTTCGGCAAACTCCAGAACGGCCTGAAGAAAAGCAAACCGGTGAGCGCATTCATTTTACATTCATTTATTATTTTATAATTTGTTTATCTACATTATTATAAACTAATTGAGTTTATATTAATTTGTTTATTTATCTAGATTATTATAAATTGAGTTTATAATTCAGAGGTAGGTAGCAAATTTTCTATTAAATTAAAGATATGTGGTGGGTATATAAATTAATTTATCCATGCATTTTGCCTTCTGAATTATTGATGCATTTTATCTTACTGAGTTTTGAATTTGGCACATTTTACATTAAAATTACTTATGTACATTAGAAAATTTGTGTTTTCATTGCTTTGGCTTTTGTCGCTCGCCGAAAATAAATTTTTTGACTTCGTTAATTTGTGTAAATGACGGAAAAAGTCACCTGCATTAGCGCCTTTTTTCCCGAAAAATTCAACAAATGTGCACCTTTCTGAAAATAACATTTTTTGTGAAAAATCATTATTATTCATTAAATCATTATTGAAAAAATAATTTTTGTCTGCACATATTATTGAAAAATACAATACATTTTTTATGGAAAAATAATTTTTTTTGTTGTTGGTGCAGGACGTGGCAACCAACGGCACTAACGGCACCACCGTCGTGCCAGCGGCGGGGGTCCCTGCCGCGACCGAGGGACAAAACGGCAAATCTAACGACGAAGTGAGTTTTTTTCTAAAACCTCACAAAAACAACTACAAAAATCAACTTTCGAAACTTTCAGAAAACAACTACAGCTCCCCTTGTCGTTGTAACCCCGGAATTATTAAGGAAAGGAATCTAAAAAAGTGACGAAGAAGAGACATTCGAAAAAATTCCAGGCTATGCGTTTTTTGGAAATATTTTGGAATGCCAAATCCGCGTCTAATTTTTCAGCTAACGACCGGTAGCTGTCGGAAGGTTCATTAAATACCTGCCATTATATTTCTCTTGTCTCGTGCTGGAGGTAAAAAGCGTGCCACTATTTGGTTAATATTACCCATGCATGCTGAGCGCACAGTGTCGAGTAAAATGTTACCTAAATGGCATTAAACGCTTCATGTTCAGCCTCCCTGTTGATTGACAATTGAGACTACAAATGGCCAAAACCTCCCATTATAAGATATTTCAAATATTGTATATGGTAGAAACCATAAAAAGTATATGGTACCCCATATAGTGCTAGCATATTCACTTTACTTCAAGCTAAGTTGCATCCATGTTAGCTTCTATTCAGATCTTTTATGCTGACTAATGTCTGGAAAACTTGCATTTAATTGCGGTGATAGTTTTTTTATGATCTTCCATGCTCAGGCTGCGAGTTTTTTGGACTATAAATCTCAAGCAAAAGGCATATCAACTTTCCTGTATTTACTGTAATAATTCAGGGCCTAACAATATGATGTCACTCCGTACGTTGGTTATAGTATGAGTATTAATTTCAATTGTACTCGTATGAGTACTAAAAATTGCTAATTGTTTATAATTACATTCTATTGACAACTGACGTTCTCTGATCTACACCAGCCCGCTGGGACCATACACACAATTTACTCTCCTGCCTCCACCCCCTCCCCCCGCTAAACTTTGTTCACTTTGAGCGAATGAATCAATGAATTCACACGACGTGTTTTTCTGTGCTTACACTCGGTCTTTGTCCAAATATCGATGCACTTATTGCCTTTATGTGGGTCATCCTGATACGGTATGGTGCGGCTAAAGAGTGTACCAGTGCCACGTCAGGTCTCTGCTGGGCATTGGGTGATTAAGTGTGTCACTACTTGGACAATATGACCAATTCATTATTCTGATTGCACCATATTTGTCGGTTACCGTCATACTAACGTTACGCATTCTGTTCTTGTGTGGTGAACACCTTGGATGTTTCACTAAGTCAATGCACCTGGAGTGCTTTGAATTTTATTTTATTATAATTTTTTATCATGGAGATGTGTTCGATCATCGAACATTAGCTATCAAAATTGCCGCCTCTTTTCTATTGAGCAATGAGTGTTCAGTGTTTTCCCTAAAAATAATTTCTTCAACTCACTTGGTAAGAAATAAGTGGAAGCGCAGCGCGTTTTGAAACAAGACATTCGATTAGATAACTAATTCAGAGAATTATCAAAAAAATTGCACATTATTGCAATATCTGTTCCTTCTTGTCGTGCAGATGGTTTCTTATAATTTCTACGACCAATGTTAGTGAATCGCTGTTGAAGTAGATATTCGGCCGATAAATTAAAAAAGTTTGAATTTCACGATCACTGACTTATTAATTAATTAATTAAAAAATTATTTTGAACTGTTTTAGTATGAGTGGAAGTAACGGCGATCAACGCAATTATTAAGAAAACTAATTACAACGAATGAAAGCAGTTGATAATGAATATGTATGTACGAAGTTAACGAAGCTAATATACGAGTGAAGGTAAAGTTGAACAACGAATATGAATAATAAATGATGGTTTTTGGTTCAGGTCGTCTACGCAGAATTGGACCTCGCCCCCGGAGACAAGAAAGTGCCAGCAGCCGACGCGCCGAGGGTAGACCCCTCAACAGAGGGCACTGAGTACGCGCACATCGTGGGGGTGCTTGATAACCAGGAGGCTAGGAAGTGAGGGAAGAGGGAAGATTAGAGGGTGCAAGTGACCAATAATAGTGAAGATAATAGGGGTGAACATCGTGGGGGTGCTTGATAACCAGCAGGCTAAGAAGTGAGGGAAGGGTGATGATTAGAGGGTGCAAGTGACCAATAATAGTGAAGATAATAGGGGTGAACATCGTGGGGGTGCTTGATAACCAGCAGGCCAAGAAGTGAGGGAAGAGGAAAGGGTGAAGATTAGTGGGTGGAAGTAATAATGAATAATTGGGTGCACGAATAATATTGATGTCTAGAGGGGAGGATTGATGAATAGTGGGGGAAATTAATGCTTAATAAGCAGAATTAAAAAGTAAATACGTCAATTGATGGATAGTGGATGCATAGAATCAATGCTCAGTGAGCACAATTGGTGCCTAATGGGCGGAATTGATGATTAGTTGGTGAAAGCGATAATTAGGGATAGAATTAATAATTAATGGGAATAATTTAAAACTAGTGGATGTAATTGAGTGAATTGATGTGATTAAGTTTCCGACGGATCTTCATTAGCGTTCACACGGAACCTTGTCTATAGTTTCCGCAAAAATTTCTTACGAAAATAGAGGTTCCCACTGAACATGGTTTCCGGTGAAACCTAGGGTGAGCTGCAAGTTCATGCTAATCCTCATTGCTATTTGAAAATGAATGATTGCTATTTGAATTAAGATGAATTGATGAAAAGGTAGCCATTACTTTCAAATTCTTGAATTAAAGAACATTGAACATTTAATTTTTATTCGCAGAATCTCAGTGGTGTCTCCTGCTCCGCAGATTAGATTAACATCGCGATGATTTCATGTTGATAAACTAAAGGTTAAAAGGCGTTCCTTAATTTCTTGTATATTTTTCAAGCGCCGAATGTGTGAGTTACCTACTGCAACAACGGCCATAACAATTAGCATTGAGATAATTCAAGTGGAGATTTACTTCATTAGTTATCAATTATTCAATTACTTGTTAGGGTTTTAGATGCCATGTGGTCAAAGATAATGTCATTTGATGGAGATAAAAATCTTAGATGAATTCTTAGGTTTATATCTTTGGGCTAAACCTATGAACGTTCTGAAATTGAACGTATTAATTACGGACCTGGAGCCATACTTTCAAAACTCGCTAAGTGAACGTAAGTACTTTCGACCTATTTTCTTGTCTATAATTGGTGGATTTTGCTTGAAAGGCCGTCAATGATTGCCTGATGAACTTACGATCTCTTAACTTTTTTTGAAAGTATAGGCCCTGAATCTGAAACATTGTATGACTTATGACGGATACGAGCTACGAGAATAGACCCTGCCTTAGGTTGTGTTGTGGTGATTGTACTAGACGGTGTTAGTTTCTAGAGTTATTGTACATAAATATCTTAAGATGATCTTATTGTAATTTACGTGCAGTCTTCAAACTGGAATATTTCTAGCTGGCGTCGATACATTTTTGTATCTAGGCTTTTTGGAAAAATTGGCTTATTTTGATTCCAATTTTGATATTTTTCAATGTGACTACGTTTTTGTAAAGACACCGCTCCCAATTTTGAGTTGAAATGTTTAATAAAATATGATGAAATTAAAGTTAGAATTAATGTTGTAGTTTGGACATATTTTTCGATGTTTTTTTCTTTTAATGGAATTAAAGTCCTAAATTAGGCGAAAATGTGCGTTCTGTATGTATATGGTTTGTGGCTAGTTGAATTGCGTCATGCATTTCTTTTGTATTTTTCTTACAGTGCAGCAATAGTTATAATTAAATGGATACTTAAGTAAAGTTTCGTCATTTACTTTGCCTTAATTTTCTACTAAAATTTTTCGTCCATCTCTGAATTAGCAATATTCTATTCAGACATTCTCCGAATTTACTGTTCATTTGAAATTCTGGTGAAAAGAAAAAATATAGGACATTGTTCTTAGTAAACTTTTTGTGTTCATGCTCGCAAAAATTAGATGAGCCACCAGTAATTGTTGCTGGATTTTATAGCGGTTTTGTCATTTATTAGGCCGTAGGCCTGTCGCCGATTATTATTATCGCAACATTCACAGCTTGTTGCGGTCTCGAACACGCAACTCACTGCCTCATTTTTGCTTTTGCTTAACTGCCCGGTTTCTCGCCGATTTTGATGAGAAATTGTCGCAGGTAGCTGGGATCGAACCCGCACCTCTCTGCTCCACGCATGGTACTCTGAACTGTAACCACTGGTCCACCCTGCCGAGTGGTTGTAAAATAAATCCCTAAAATTTCGACAGGTAGCGATCAGTACAACCTCAACGTTATAGTACGGGTTCATCAAACCAAACGCTTTTTATTGGATGAAAAACATTTCTATTGACTGATTTAGAGCTTGCTGTGACGATTCCACGTTATGTTTATAATATCAGAACAATTTAATGCAACTAAATTTAATTTTGGAACATCATCGTAGCTCAAATATAGATCAAAATATGATCTATTTTCGACGATTCCTAAAGATGTTATTCTGCACTAACAGAACTTATTAGATTAATTTAACGAATATTACTACATGTATTCCTCAGCGTATATGCAATACAAGTGGTCTTATCGAATCTTATTGGTTAAGATTCGGGTCATGTTGTGTGCCTCTTGAAGAAAGTTGAAGCCTAGCAGATTATAAATACGATATGCAATCAGTGCATGAATTTAAATCACAATTTCTTCTGTGTTTAATAAAAAATCATGGGCTATGACCCCAAAAATATGGAATCAATTCTCTTTCCAACGATCATGACCTTGTAATTTCATTGAAGCTAACCCAATTCGACCCAGAAAAATAAAAAATTTGTAATTCCCGAGTATAATTTTTTCATTGTAAATGCAGTCTTACGGTACTAACTCATCGATATTCACGTTGATAGATGAATGTGGCTAGAGACTATAGATATATATTGCTAAGAAAACGTATGGCTGTTCCTATTAATAATAAAACACAAGTAAACTGAAAAATAGATTAATAATAAATGTTAAATCCGGTTTAAGGCTCGTAACCACACTCATTCTGAAGTAAGTGAACAATTTATGAAAAATTACATCTTGGAAATTCGGTTGCTTGCACTTACATTTTTTATTACCGATTCAAGCCAACAGATTTTTTTCAAAATCGACATTTTGGGGGTTATGAATTAATTTAATTTTCGTGAATATTAGTCATATTAGCTGTGGCTATCCTCATTTAAGAATTTTCCGACACATTTTTCGGTGTCCCTCCAAACATTTCCGTAATTTCTTCCATGGTCTTCCTCTTCGTTTCCTTCACTACGAAGACTGAGAAGAACACGCTCACGACGCACATGCCTGAGAAGAACCAGTACACTCCGTAGTCGTGGATGGCTTCCTGTTCGAGAATTTAATAAAGCTTTAGATGGCAATACAAACTCTCATAAAACAGAATGGGTCATATTATCCATAAGGTGAAAATTACAGTTTCTCCACGTAACTATTTTACGCCATTTTCCCGGACCTTAGTGAGTCGTGATGACTCACACCGGTGCATCGCTATTTATATATTTCGCAACATAATTCATCTGAATAAAATATCCAACTGCTTTAACTATAAATAAACATCATTCGTTTGCAGATTACCTAAAATTATCAATTTAATTACCTGTAGGGGCCTGAAAATCAGCGTGATGATGAATGCGAACAACCAAGACGTGATGGCGGCCAAGCTGCCAGCGAGCTCACGCACGTCATGCGAGAAAATCTCTCCTGTAAAACCACCATTTTGACGAATATTATAACTGATTATTTCCGATACAAACTGATTATTGCAGTTTTCAACTGATTATTTCAGTTACCACCAGATTATTTCAGTTATCATGGCTGATAAGTGATAACTGATGTGTGATGTTTGAGTCCTTCAATTTTGCCTCTGAAATCTCTGAGCCATGAAATTTTGCCCTTGCATGGCTCAGTGGCCATGCCATACCAGACCACCGAGGTACCCGTAGGAATCCGATTGTTAAAATAGCAATGCAAGCATTTACTGTGCTTCAGAAAATTCTCCGTAAAACAAACAAGTCACCTGAATATTTTTATCCACATTCATTATTATAGCACATGTAGACAAACTTAGTTAACTCTCATTTAATCCTCATTCTTATAACAAATGTGGACAGCTGAGTTAGCTCTCATTTATTCATCATTCTTATAACAAATGTGGATAAACTGAGTTATCTAAAGTTATCTAAATCATTAATTCATCATTCTTATAACAAATGTAAACAAACTTAGTTAACTACCGTCTCATTTATTCAACCAGTTATGTCACGATATTCACCCATCATAACCCAAGGGATGGGTCCAAACCCTGTGCTGTAAGCGAAGATGAAGATCATGAGGGAGGTGATGGGTAGCCAACTCAAGTTAGAAGCTTTGTCTTCACTCAGCAGGTAGAAATATATGCCCATGGACGCTGTCGTAAAGAAAAAAATGGTTTTTATATCTTCTATGGAGTCGTTATGTTAAAATTCATGCGGTAAAAAAATTTATATGCTCATGTTTTATGATAAAAATAATATGCCCATGGACGCTGTCGTAAAGAAATTGTTTTCATATCTTCAATGGAGTCGTTATGTTGAAATTCATGTAGTAAAAAAATTTATATGCTCATATTTTATGATAAAAATAATATGCTCATGGACGCTGTCGGAAGAACGAAATTATTTTTAATATCTGTGATAAAATAATTAAGGTAAAATTCATGGAATGAAAGGGCAAATGAAGATTTCTGGTACAACTTTGATAAAATTGTTGTATGAAATGTACGAGGTTAAATAAAAAATTCTCTTTGGTCATTTCCCTGAAATTCCACTTGAAAATAAAATTAGTTTAGAGTTTCGAAAATTTTATTATATTCAATTCGTGTCCAAATAATCATATCACCAAATCTCTTGTGTTTAAATAGTCTGCCTTTATTTTTGGATCAAATCAACAATTAGACGACAAGAGGACCAATTTTCTATGCAACCTTCTTTAATTTCAACATCCTTTATTGCTTGTTTTTTTTTATTCTCTAATTGAAGAATTTCAAAAATGTAATAAAACTGATCTAATAATATCACCTTGAGACGCGGCGAGCACCACTGATGACCCGATGAGCAGCGGCCTCCTGCCAGCTCTGTCCATGAGGGCGGCGGCCACGGCGGTGGCCACCACCTGCACCACGGCCACCAAGATGCTCGAGTTCTCTGCGGACATGTCCGCCTCGGCGCTCTGCCGTCATGTTTTGACCATTTATTAATTACTAATCACAGAGCATTAATGGTATTTGAATAACACATTTTAACTGCTATTGAAACGGTATATACCGCAGAGGATCTTGATGATTCAAAATGAGGTTTATGATATTAATATCTTTCAATTTTACTCTGTTATTCCATCCATATATATCGATGATTACGACCATCGCACGGTTAAAAATGTATCAGAGATTATGCTTTGAAGTCATTCATCACTTTATTTTTTATTTCCTTTAGATAACATGGAATTGAGTTCATTATCTGTATCTTATCATCTTTCACTTACCTCAAAAATTGTGGTTAGGTTAAACATGATCGCGCTGATCCCAGAGAATTGTTGAAAGACCATCAAGACGACAGAGATGAGCAGGGGTCTCCTGATGTGAGGTCTGCCCAGGTCTCTGAACGAAGCTCTGTTGTTGCGGGCAAAAGCAACGGCGTCTTGAAGACGCGTCAACTCCGCGTCAACGTTGCACTCTTTGCCTGGGGGCGCATTTGCATGACATAGTGGTTACAGCGTTTCTTAGGCCGTAGGCCTGTCGCCGACTCTTAACATTGCAGAACATCCACCGCATGTTGCGGGCTTGAACTCGCAACTCACTGCTTCAAAATTTATTTGCTTAACCGCCCGGCCTCCTTGCCGATTCTGATCAGAAACTGACGCACAGAGCTGGGATCGAAACCGCGCCTCTCTGCGCCAATCATGGTACTCTGCTTTAAGGCCACTCTGCCCACTTGGCGAGATGATTTGTGATGAAATTTGTTCGTAAGAGGTTTGATAATTAAAATTCTGTTCGTCTATTTACCAATACAGCTGTCATAACTTTCTTATATATTCGTCTCCATGTATATTAATAAACATTGGTTACTATACTACCTCCGACGATGAAAAACCAAATAAAATTCAGATATTAAGTAGGAAGTGAAGTTGTGTATCTTAATAACTACAAAACTAATTAAATAAGTCGAGCTCAGAATACCTCTAAAGTGTTGCAAAGACATCCTTGCGTCTTCATGCTTGTCTTTGGCGAGCAGGTAGCTTGGAGACTCCATGTTGAAGACCATCGAGACGCTGAAGACCACGGCGGGCAGCAGACATGTCAGGGCGAGCCACTGCCAAGACTCGAGGGCACCAAACACGAAGACGAACAGCACGCCAACTGTCATCATCAGCTGGAAGCACGAACCTTGCGGACGAAAGTTAAACACAATTTGATTCGCATACTATACATTTTTTCAATAAAATTTGTTTAATTTTGTGTTAAAACTATTCGCGAAGTGCGAATGTGAGAATTTTATTATAATTCTTTTAATGTAAGTCAATAGAAATCGTTCACGCAAGGCGTATTGATATTAATAATTTGTAGATTTCAGTAACATGCGAGTCGTTTTTTTACAACACTTCTCCTTAACTTCACTTCATGTTGTTTGTTTGTTTGTCTGCTACAAATCTTATAATCGATATTTAATACGTTTCCAATTGTCCAATCGATCTGAAATTGCACACTTGCGCAAAGTTGGAGACAATGCATAAATCAATTGACAGTATAAATAATGTTAGAATTAATAAAAAAATTTAATATTTAAACCTGAGCAATATTGTCACAAGCCTCCTTCCCAAAAAGGATGCGTTTTAGTGAGTGCAAAATGACTTGCACTGATGGTTGCCGCCACATACGACAACTTTAAAATGTTCTCTGTTGCGTACAAACGTCCTCAGGTTGCTACACTCAATAATTTACGAATAATGTAATATGAAAGTTATGTTCCCGAAGAGTGACGTACAGCGGTAGAGGGTTAAATCACGAAAATAGGCTCTATCGGATGGTTCTGATGGTATCTGTGGCTTTCCAGCAGATGTAGCTACACGGTGCTTACTCACTTTAAAACACGTCTCGTAATTCAACAGATTTCCTTAGTGCTTGAGTAAAAATATCTCAATAGATTTCCTGTCTCTTTTCCTGTAACTAAATGTAACTACTTTTGCTAGAAATTTAACTACTTTTATTAATTTAACTACTTTTATACTGATCATTCTGATGTGGCATCTGTTTTTTAGATTATTGCATTTTTGCCTCACCCAACATCCCCCTGATGTCGGGGGAGGCGATCTCCCCGATGTAGGTGGGGACGGCGATGGTGGCGACTCCGGCGCTCACGCCAACAAAAATTCGGCCGGCGATCAGCATTGCGAAGTTCGATGCCAAGCCTGGCGGAAAAGCGTTATCAGAGGATTATTATTCCATCAGTAAAATAACATTATTTTATTGCCAATTAAGTTCATTTTCTCAATTAGGCATTAACAGAAACTCTGCGCCTTCATTTGCAGTCATACTTGCTCATTCTAGAAATATTTTAATTGTTTTTCATGTCTTTTCTGATTTTCCATTCATGCAAATGCTTCCAACTTTTCATCAATTCCATTTATGGAATTGATGTCTTATTTATTTATTTATTTTATTGTCCTTTGTTTTGTTTATACGAGCCTTTTATGTCCTTTGTTTTGTTATGGAATGTTTGTATTTATTAAGCCACTAATGTTTCAGCAGTTCCGTATATTTTGCGTGCTACTTGAATGCATTTGAATTTTATAGTTCGTTTGACCAAATGCGTATTATACATGCATTAATATTGGCTGAAAATTATGTCTTATAATTACTACCCGTTGACCTCAGGTTGTCCTTGACATTGACACTCAAGTTTTTATTATCTTAACTGAAGGGTCAACGGGTGCGTTCAAATCAAGTGCTTGCATGCACCTTATCTGTAGAGCCAGTCAATAATAGATACGTTGGAAACGGTAAGATCTATTTTTAGATAAAATTTCGATTTGTCGTATAATTTAGCATGAAATTATTATTTATGAAAATTTGGCCCGGATTCGTTTATAAATCCAATCCATAGAAGTTGCTAAATTGAAAAAAACGATGCTTTTTTTCTAGATTCGATTGAGTTGAAAATCTGAAACGAATTCACACAGGAGGACGTTAAAACTTGCTCCGCACCTTAATTAACGAGCAATCCAAAGTTGAATGTTATGTTATATGTCATCAATAAAAGGATTTCAGTCAGACCCGATGATCAATAAAATCAACAAATTCATGCCGAATCAATGTTCTGAAATTTCTGCCAAATGTAAGAGTTGTAAGAAATATTTTTTTCTTTCCACATTATTCCTGCCTGGAATCTGACGAAATAACCAAATATTCAACAGTTTTGTTCATAGGATACTTCTCTAAGATCAACCTAAATGCAAACTTAAACAAAAGTTTTGAGAACTGGAGGAATAAAGGAATAAACTATTTTTCAAGAATAAAGACACTTTTTTAGTCCAACAGCGATTAATTATATCGTATAAATACGGTTGTGTGAAATTACCATCGGTAATGCTAATCAATATAAATCAGTGCGTCGTGCAACTGCTAAACGCTCTTGTACGACGCACATTCAAAAGTAGTTGATCAAGGCCCGAATTATCGTACTGGAAATCTACTCGCACCTCCCCCTCATTCAGCAGAATAGCTTTACACCGAACAGTACCATGCATGTTCCAGTGAACGGTATAGGTTTTACATTTTTAGCTACAACTGTCAGTTCATGTGACTTGAATATTCTAATCCCTCAATGTTTTTAAGAGAGAACTTCGTAAAAAAACTTACATTTTTATGGCATCCGCGCGGTATCAATAATAGAATGATTTTTAGCAGCTAGGTTGTTTATTATTGTCGTGTGTTAAACTTCGCCTCATGTGTTCTTTGTTTTGTTATGAATATTTGTATTTATTACGTCAAATATTTATCTGCCTGAATTGTGTGTTTCTGAACTGCGTGTTGCTGATTGCATGATTCCATTGATCTTTAGAATGTTTTCATTTAGATATGCTAAATTTTACTTGAATTTTTTCTTTAAATTTTGCAACCAATCAGTCATAGTTACCTACATAACATTTCCAGCGTATTTGTTGGCGATTTATCAGTTGCTTCATTTCTGTGCACGTATTCAAGATGTAAATAGTGATTGGCAAATACATAGTGTATCACATAGGAAACCTTATTTTGTCATTAAATAATAATGAGGCGTATCATGGTACTTATTAAAATTTTTAGCCAATTCTAGATACCTGTAAAAGTTAAATTCGAAATCTGTATCCACTTGAAACGGCTATTTTGTAACACGAAATCGTTTCAAACCGTCAAATTTTCATATGAGTGAATCCATTTCTATCACCTTGTCAACTAATATCTCTGTATAAATAATTTATAACCATCACAATTTCGCAATTTTTATGCGTACACGAACTATTTGTCTCACCTATAAGTGCCCACCCCAGCACGTTGGGCACGAGGCAGGCGATCATGGTGCCCCGTCGCCCGATCCAATTGATGCCCAGACCCCCAAGCACCACGCCCAGGATGGCTCCAACGTTGACGATGGAGCTGAACCATGAGAGCTGAGAGTCGCTCAGTGGTTCTCCTCCAATTAAAGAATAATTTGTTTCATTAGCCAAGGCTCCCAGCTGAGCAGTGCTGGGCGCTGCATATGTTGTACCTGAGCCAACAGTTAAGGCACCGAAAGTGCAACACGCGGTCGCTATGTATTGAGTTATGTACGTTGGTTTGTTTTTAACTAATTGATTATTGTCTTCCATGATGCTCGGTGCGTTTGACAAGCTGGTGCGGTAAATAACGGTTTTAAAATTTAATATCTCCAATGGTCTTTATAGAAGAGTATTGGTGAAATGATTCTTCATATATTTTAGTAATTTTGATTTTGATTTAGATTTAATCAGAAACTGATAATTACAGCATAAACCATTGACTCTCCGATCAGCGAAGGCAATGAAGAGATCGTACTTTTTTAGCCTCTAATTACCGCGTTATCAGGCGATGTGTGTGTTGCAGGTGATGGCGAGCTCACACCGCCATAACAAACCAATTAAAAGATAGTGCGATAACGGCCTCAACCAAGGATAGTTATAATATTAATAAGAGATACTTTAAATATTTATAACTGTCTTGTGATCATGTTAAGAGATGCAGTTCTGAATGTTTTTTTTTCAAACTGAAAAACCCACAAAATAATAATGTAAAAATTAGAAATTTTATTCACTCAATGAGAAAATGAAGTACCTGTTCTCTCTCTACTTCGCTGATCAAATTTCGCGGATGGTAATTTTCATGGATTTTTTAAACCTATCCATATCAAGAATTTTCGTCTATATCGCGGATTTCCGAATTAAATTTGCGAATATTTAGAAATAAGTCAATAAATTAGTATTTTTCTCCTTAATCAGTTTCATTAGCAGTATTAATATTTAATATTTTACTCTCAATCCATCTCAAACGACATTCACTACCACAGTATTAAAGGGGCTGTGAATTTTCCTGCTATGTACGTTATACTTCTAATGAGATCTGTATTACCGCACACGTCCGGTTCTGTATTACCGCACACGTCCGGTTCTGTATTACCGCACACTCCGATTAGGAATTTTTCTGCCTCAACCTGCGAAACTTAGAATTTTAAATGGAATCAGGTAATACAAGAAGTGAAGTGTCGAATCTCAGATTTTTATTGAATAAATGGAAAGTGAGAGGGACTCGATACGCTATTCGTTATATCATTCAATTTAACTTTAAAATTAGTTTAAATTCTATTATGCATGGTTATTCCCATTCATTAGCATTAAAATTAAACAACAGTTTGGTGTAAATAATACATGTATTGATAGATAATTTCAGCGTCTAAATAACGAGCGTCTCCCAACTTTCGTACAAAAACTTTTGCGGTATGTGATAAATATTTTTTCTTTGCCTTTATCGGTTGATCAAGTACGTTTATGCACCATTTGGTTATCGATGTCAACAACGACAGTTAATCGCCAGCTTCTGGAGCTATTTCAAGCTGATAATTTTAAATCATCGGTAAATTTAGGAAATTCTTTTTCTAATCGTAAATCGTCTTCAATCTTTTATTTTTCCATGCACTTGATATGTATAATCCTCGTACTTTTTTCATGAATTTTCACTCAACACATTCAACTGTAATCTATGGTAACTTTTTGACGTTCCAATCCCAGACCGCGTTAGTCTAAAATAACTCTGACCCTTTATTTAAAAAAAATTTGTACATAAATATTTACAATAATAAAGCTATTTTCATTCGGCTTCTTTTTGCTTGTTTCCGTACATGGTGGCAATTTCGTCAGGACTTTTGCCCCGAGTTTCCTTAACGACGAAGACAGTGAAGACGAAGCCGACGATGCACATGGTCGCAAAAAACCAATGAGCTCCGCTCACGCCAATCGCGATCTGTTGATTGAAGTGATTGTTTAATAATAAATCGACTTGAAACATTCGAAAGACATGTAATTTTTTAATACAGTTTTGCAACTAAACTGTAATTTCTTCAGAGGTTCGATCCACGTCTTACTACCTCTCAATTGCTAATCCGTTTTTTAACATGAATTTATTGGAATTTTCATTAGATATTAATTTTTTCCTTGTGCATAAATTAATGCGTAGAAAATATTACAATGATTATATTTTTAGCGTGGGGGTTGATTTTCAATGCAAATGATCGATGAAAATGAGATTATTTCAATGTTTCAAAAAGTTTCACTAGTTTTTCTGCGGTGTTCACCATCAGAGGATGGTAGATGAGGGTTACTCACCATCATAGGATGGTAGATGAGGGTTACTTACCATCAGAGGATGGTAGATGACGGTTACTTACCATCAGAGGATAGTAGATGGGGGCTACTTACCATCAGAAGATGGTAGATGAAGGTTACTTACCATCAGAGGATGGTAGATGAGGGTCACTTACCATTTTATGGAAAAATCCATCCATCCATCAAATTTCTGGAAAATTCCATCCATCAATTTTCTGGAAAAATCCACCCATAAATTTTATGGAAAAATCCATCCATCCCTCAAATTTCTGGAAAATTTCATACATCAATTTTCTGGAAAAATCCATTCATCAATTTTATGGAAAAATCCATCCATCCCTCAAATTTCTGGAAAATTCCATCCATCTTTCAATTTTTTAGAAATATCCATCCATCCATCAAATTTCTGGAAAATTCCATCCATCTATCAATTTTCTGAAAAAATCCATCCACTGACCCAGTAAGACCCAAGGGACAGGCCCTAGCCCCACGCTGTAGGCGACGATGTAGAGGATGTAGAACACTATCGGTATCCATGATACGTTATCAGCACGACGCTCCTCGAGCAGGTAGAAGAAGGCACCGAGGATCACTGCAGAATAAAGAATAAATTATCAGTTTTCTATTTTATTTACTTACATATTTTCTCGTTATTGTTATTATTAATATTATTTCTATAATCTTAAAATTTAAATCCCACCATTTTCTATTAAAAATTTTATGCCTGAAGAATTTGTCATAGATATCTGAACACCAAATTATTTCCGTTCTAAAATTATCTTTTTTCAGTGTTTATTGGGTCGCTCCTGAGCAAAATGTATACTTTTATAACACAGGTTATTAATGATACGATAATGTGAGTGGGGCTTTGTCCAAAACTCGATGCGCTTTTTACTCTTATGTGAGTTATCTTGACGCAGTTTTGCCAATATCAAAAGGGCATATCAGTGCTACGTCCGCTCTCTACTCGTGCTGTGGATAAGAGAGTGTGTCACTATTTGGACACTATGACCCATCCAATTCTCTGAGTGTATGTACAGTCTAGTTTATTCATTTTAATTATTTAAAAAAATATATATTTTATTTAAAACTCACGCAGCGCGACCGCCATGACAGCAGTTGACACCAGCAGCAGCAGTTTGCGTGGCAGTTGGTCCATGAACGGAGCGACGGCCGTTGCAGTTGCCAGTTGGAAGCAAGCAACTGTTATGCTGGCAGCGTCAGCCGATATTGGCACGCCTGCTAACTGGAAATTTGTGCTAAATAACGTTTACAGTTAAATTAACGTCTCAAGAATTTGAATTTGACGTATTTCAATTCCGTTGCTCGTGTTTCTTAAGGATATTCGTGTGTGATTTTTCACACTTATCGGGTATATTTTAATTTAAAAATTAAATGTATGTTTCAATGGAAAAATCTTTATTATTTCAGATGAGAAACGGGACATATATTATGAATATTTCCCCATCATTTATAGAATGGATAAACCAATTAAGTACTTTATCTTGATAGTTAAATTTTCATGGTCCTGACATTTCTGTCATGTTGATGACTTGATGGAAGTTTACATTAATCTACTCTATATATCTTCTATACGTTTCATGCAATTGGAGAAACATCCATATTTTTTTAACGATTGGTAATTAACCTATCGTTTGTTCTTATGTTAACCACACGTCACTATTTCATATCTCATTTTCCTTACTTTCAAAACTCTTTACTTACCTGGAACATTTCCTTCATGTTGAAGAGGAGAGCAAAGACCCCCGAATATTGCTGGAAGAACATGAGCATGAGCGCAGTGACCAACACACCAACCACCTCCCTGGCCCCGAGGGCCGCAACTGACACGACGTTCAGTCTCGACCCCACGACCGAGCTCAGGTCCAGCAACTCAGGCTCGATATTGTAGTCATCCCCTCAAGTAATACGGTTAAGAAATTAGGTAATGGAAAATTTAGCAGTTGTTTAATAAGAATTAAATGTATGAATCATGAGTAAAAAATATTTGTTGGTTATACAAACAATGCAATTTGAATAAACTTTGGAAAGTCAAAAACCACTTGGGTGACCAAGTGGTTGGAATTCATAAGATTGGAGCAGCAAATTGGGGGTTCGAGACCCGCAGTTGATTGTAAAAATTATGGACAAAATCGTCATGGAGGCTGGGCGGTTAAGAATCGGCCACAGGCCCAACTTAGCTTAATCAAAGCTTACAGCTAAATAATATTATTATTACATCATATATTATGTTATTACAATCAATATTAATAAATCGAAAGTTATAATTTTTTATAGCCCAGCAAAATCAATATAAATCTTATTCATCCTTCAATATTTTGATAAATAAATTTATTACACACCTCGAAGCATTTGTAGGGACCTCCTGGCATCCTCGACCTTCCCCGCTGACAGGAGGAAGGCCGGAGACTCCCTACAGAATATGAGGACCGTGACGAACGCTTTTTCCGGCGATTGACTGTAAATATTTTGCGAATATTGTAAATAAATTTTGCAAGTATTGTAAACAAATTTTGCAAATATTGTAAACTAATTTAGATTATTCCGGTGATTGATCGGATTGATAATTTTAAATTCCTATCAAAAGAATCAATAATCACTTGAAATAACTCTAAAAACGCGCCACAAAAATTCATAAATTTTCTAACTTATAAAAAAGGACAACTAACTATAAAAGTGAAGAAAAAAAATAAAATTATATTTCAACTTGCATAAATGGAAAAAATTTAAACGCCCTCCTTATCGAGTTTTACGATTTTTTCTACAGATGGAACAACTAAAAAGAATTTTTTCAGGTACTTTCGTTTTTCGATAATGATTCAATGTTTGAAGTTTCATTGTTTCGTTTTGAAGTTTCTGAAATATTGTTTCGAGTGAACATTTTGCGCCGACGTCTAGGTTTTCATTTATTCACAATCGTGTTCAAATTCTAATAATGCTTATGCGTTTACACACATTTTTGAGCTATTTTTGACGATTCAATGTCCTTCCCAAAGCTATAAGATTGAATTTTTTTACTGTGTTTTTCATGTTTTTTTTCAACACAAACTTTGTTCACTTTGAGCGAATGAATCAATGAATTCACACGACGTGTTTTTCTGTGCTTACACTCGGTCTTTGTCCAAATATCGATGCACTTAATGCCTTTATGTGGGTCATCCTGACCCGGTATGGCCCGGCTAAAGAGTATAAGTGCCACGGCAGGTCTCTGCTGGGCTGTGGGTAATTAAGTGTGTCACTATTTGGACAATTTGATTCATTCATTATTCTGATTGCACTATTTTTGTCGGTTATCGTCATACTTACGTTACGCATTCTGTTCTGTGTGGTGAACACCATGGATGTTTCATTGAAGTCTCTTCACCCCAGGAGTGCTTTGAATTTTAATTTATTATTATTTTTTATCGTGGAAATGTGTTCGATGGTCGAACAGTAGCCGGCAAAAATGTTGCGGCTTTTCTATTGAGCAATGAATTGTTTAGTGTTTTCCCTGGAAAATGATTTCTTCAGCTTACTTGGTAAGAAATAAGTGGAAACGCAGCGCGTTTTAAAACAAGTCATTCGATTAAATAACTAATGCTAAAAGTTGTTATTAACAACATTGCATGTTATTGCAGTATTTGTGCCTAATTGTTGTGGAGATGACTTCTTCTAAATTCTACGACGAATGTTAGTGAATCGCTTTTGAAGTAGATATTCTGCTGAAAGTTGAAAAAGTATGAATTTCATTATCATTGACTTATTAATGAAGGTTAAAAAATTATTTTGAAGTGTT